GTGGGTTCTTCGCTCTCACCCTGGCCTCACGCAGCCTTGCAGCTTGTTAACATGGAAACCTAGTTCTTCTCACCACTTGTATGGCAATTGGTGTCCTGCTTTCCCAGGCTTTGCTGGAGGTGAGCCGATGCTCACTTCCTGTTTTCCTTGGAAGAGTCTGCCTTTCCTTACATTCCAGGCTAGTTGTTTGCTCTGTGATCTCAACACTCTGATTGAAGATAAGTTAACTGTCAGTCATGAAAGTTGGACTTATGTAAAGAAAGCTGAGTGCCATAGAATTGATGCTTTTGAACTGTGGTGTTGGAGAAGACTCTTCAGAGACTCTTGGACTGCAAAGAGATCAAACCAGTCCATCCTAAAGGAAATCAGTCCTGAATATTCAATGGAAGGACTGATGCTGAAGCTGAAACTCCAACACTTTGGCCACCTGATGCAAAGAACTGACTCATTGGAGGAGACCCTGATTCTGGGAAAGATTGAAGGTGGGAGGAGAAGGGGACGATGGAGGATGAGATGGTTGGATGGCATCATTGGCTCAATGGAGATGAGTTTGAGAAAGCTTCAGGAGTTGGTGATAGATAGGGAGACCTGGAGTGCTGCAGTCCATGGGGTCGCAAAGAGTCAGACACGACTGAGTGACTGAACTGAACTGTCAGTCGTGTCCAACTCTTTGTGACCTCATGGACTGTATCCCACCAGGCTCTTCTGTCCTTGGAATTGTCCAGGCAAGGATACTGGAGTGGGTTGCCATTCCCTTCTCCAGGGATAAGTTAAGATCCTTTTAGATTGTTTGTCTTTTTCTTGTTAGGATGGGATTATCTTGGGTGGGAGCTTGTTGTCCATGTCCGCCCCTGGATGATGAAAAAGTGAGACCAGAGTAGTCAATCCAGAGAACAGTCAAATTACCCCAGATGGCTTGACTTCTTGTCCAGGAAGGACCTGCAGGCCCTGCTCTTACTTTGTTTTATAATGAAGATATATGGGTTGGTTACCCATGTATTTGAGTGGCTGAGAGCAACCACAGATATTATACAGTTCCTACTGTGTGCAGTGCTGAGCTTCTGGTGGCATATGACAGGCTGGCAGCAACAGAAACTGAAGCAAGCAGGTTAGCTTACTGTGAGAGCCCAGGGTCCTGCACCAGGGTGAGATTTCCACAAAGTTAGATTGATTCATACATTTGAGGATGAGATGGTTAAATAGCATCATTGATTCCATGGACATGAGTTTGTGCAAACTCTGGGAAATAGTGGAGTACAGGGAAGTCTGACGTGTTGCAGTCCACGGGGTCACAGAGAGTTGGACACGACTTGGCCACTGAACAACAGCATAATTCTGAGTTTCACCTTTTTTTTTCCTTGTAATGTTAAGATGTTTTTATTTGGTAAGAATGAAAGTTGCTGACTTGGTGCAGCTCCCTACATACATATGTGTGGGACTAATGCTGTTACAGTTTTACTTGTGATAGACCTAGCTGAGGACCGCCAGGCAGGGCCCCTGGTATCCTTTGATGTTGACCGGACAACCCTTTAAACACTGCTCTTGATGTCCTGTCACTGTCATTACCCACAGCCTGTCACGTGCGCCTCTTCCTACTCTTGCCCATTATCTTCTTATCTCTGCTTTGTCACTTACTTGCCAAGCTCTTGGGGAATGCCACATCTGCAAAGTGCTCGAGTGCAGGTGAGCAGCTCTCTGGGGCCAAACTGCTGGCCCTTTGCCTTGCGGGGAGGTGTCATTCCACAGGAATGTCATCACGGTGGGCTTGGCTCTTTGAGGTGTCGTCGAGTGTGTGTGGAGGGCCTGCCAGCTCTGTGTTCAGCTCTGCCATGCAAGCATTCCAGGGCAGGTGGCGCTGGGGAATGACGCAAAAAATATTAGAGCCGGGAGCTGGGAGCCTCCATGAGGACAGAAGAGGTGCTGGGCATGTGGAAGCAAATCCACAGGCGATGTCCCCTGTCAGAGGCTGCTTCCTGTCAGGAACTGCCTGTACTTTGAGTTCAGATCCCAGCTGTCATTTCCTGTATTAGAATAAGTTATTTAACCTCCCTGATTCTGCTTCCCCATCTGAAAATTAAGGCCAGTGATGCCTGCTGTGAAGGGTCGTTGTAGGGATTAAATTAAGTGACATCTAAAATGCTGGCACATAGGTGACAAGTAAACCACAGTGGTGTCCGTCTTTATGTGCTGGACTGGCAGTGTGTTAAGTGCTGTAATGTCTGTAGTCCTGGTGAAAGTAAAAGCAAGAGCAAATGGCGTGGCTGGAGGAATAGCCCAGGGCAGACAGAACCCTGGACTTGTGAGCAAGGCTGGAGGCTGGGTACCTTCTGACAGTTATTTCCTGTCTGAGCTCTGGTTCCTGCAGCCTGTCTTCCCAAGGCCGCTGCCCTGTTTGGGGCATGTGGCTGCTGTCCTGAGTCTTCCTTTGGAGTTGGCTCGGCTTGGGCTCAGAAGGAGGGTTCCTGTTGCTGAAGTCAGTAGTGCTCATCCCCACCCCTGCCTCCAGAGGCTTGGCTTGGCACTGTTCATCTCTGAGCCATTTTGCAGAAACACTCAGAATTTCCATCCTGTCCTTCCCAGGCAGCAGGCCGAGCCCGACTGGTCACTCCTTGAGGATGCTGGTCATCAGGACAGAGGGCTGCCAGGTTCCCATCCTCCCTCTGGTGGCCTTTTCTGAGGGAGCCAGGGGGACTCAGTGTCAGGAGGAAGGGGAGGGGGTTCTTTGGAAGTAGTGGGTGTAGGCTCCTCCAGAAAGCCTTGTGGGTGATTCGTAGATAAGCGTTTCTCACAGTCCAGCCCTTGAAAGTACAGGCCCAGTTGTTGCTCCCATTTTACAGATGAGGAAGTGGAGGCCCAGAGGGACTAAAACTCTTGCCTAGGGCCACCTAGCCTGTCGAGGTAGAGCTCAGATGTTGGCCAGGGGCTGTCTGAGTCCCTGCTCTTCCCCACTCTGCTCTGTCTCCCAACAGAACAGCCTGGCTCTGGGGGCCACGGTGGTGAAGGCCAGTCAAGGCTTCTGAAACATTTCCCTTTGGGATGGGCTTTGAGAGCTGAAGTGTAACAGCTCCTAGAGGACTGGAAGACCCCCAGGCCCCATGGTCCAAGGTCTTAACCATGGCCACAGCAGACAGCGGGCCTGTGGATGTGGCACTGCCCTTGTTTTCAATTATGCTCCTCAGGTTTGTGTCTCATTCAAGTTCTCTGTAAGCACTGGGGCCTGCATTTTTCCAAGTTCAAATTGACGTGCACTTGAGAGTTTGTTAGCTATGAGATTAGAACACTTTCCTAATAAAGGAAAATATGCAGGTAGAGGCCATGTGCTGAGCTGCCCTTCTTTGCTGGTTGGTACTTGTCTTCTGGGCGGATTTTTTTCAAGGATGCTGAGGCCTGCCCAGGGGAGCATGCCCAGGGCAGAGCCACTGGATTTGTCCCAGAGATGGGCCAACTCAGATGAGATGCCAGCTGGCTGCTGATCCTAGGTGAGCCGCAGTCGTATCTGGTGTTCTGCCGTGGCTGGGGCTTTGAAGGATGGGGGAGTGCTGGCTGGAGTGCCCTGCGCTCTCTTGTGTTTGGGGAGTTGACAGGCTTTGAGCCCAATGTCCTGGGTTTAGAGGGGAGAGGAGTGATGAATGCAGGCAGGAGACAGGGAGAGAGACACGGACATGTGGGTGGGAGGCAGGCAGTCTGGCTTTGATTCTTCCCGCTCATGTGTCCTGTCTCTGGAGCTGAGTGGTGGGAGGAACAGGATCGGGGTAGGGCAGGTCCAGGTGTGAAGGAGCACAGAGGAGCTTCTGATTGGGCGTGAGGGGTGGCAGGGTGAATGGATAAGGATGCTTGGAGCAGGGGAAAGGAAGGGCGGATGAGGGGATCCTGGGAGCTGGACACAGGGTAGAGGTGGGAGCAGCGCTGGGGAGGGAGGCAGGCTAGAGCAGCGTCCCCTGTCAAGGGGCTTGAATTTTCTCTCAGAGCCTATGGAGAGCCCTGGAGGACTGGCAAAAGCCAAAGAACAATGTATAACATTTTGAATGTCTGTCAGTCAAATTGTGGTTGAAAACATTGAGTCCCAAGGATGGCTGCATCTATGGGTTACTGGGGTTTGGGGCTGCTCTCAAAACTGAACTGAAGAGTGTCAGCCTTGCTGAGCATGTCATTCCCACAAGGAATAAGTCCACAGAGGAATTGTATCTTCCTGAGACATCTTGCCACTCTGTCTTTGGGAACCAAGTGGTTCCTGGCATCCTGCTCTGGCTGCACACGTGCACGATGCTTCTAGGGTCTGGAAAAGCCTTTGTGTGCAGAGCAGTGCCTAACTTTGGGGAGACACGCATTGGACTGGATTAGTCCATTTAGGAAATCACTTGTCCAGTGGCGGCGGTGGCAGGGGAGGATGGCTTCTGCATTTGGGGACTGAGGATCTTAGACAGGAGCACTGAGTCCTTCAGGTTCCCGGAGTCTTCTCTGAAGCAGCATGGGGCACCTGTCCTGTGGATGCTGACTCCGCCAGCCATTGGACCAGCACTTTCACATAGAATCTGTCTCCCCTGGGGATCTGCGCCAGGGCAGGGCCGGACCCTTGCCTTAGTTCTGGGCCATCCCAACCCTAGGGTGGGGAGTGGGTGTTGGACTAACTAGGAGGAAGGGTGACTTCAGGGGCCAGCATAGACTTCAGGGGCCCTGGACTCTGAGAGGCCTCACACTGGAGGTTGCAGGTCTTGTGAAGAGCTGGCAGCCCCTGGCCTCTCTTGAGGACCTCCAAGAGCCCAGCCTGACATCCCTCCCAGGGCCCTGCAGCCTGGACTGTGATTGCTTTGATTCCACTCCTTGCTCTCAGTCTCTGCTTGGAAAGGAGGGCCCAGAGGTGGAGTCCCGCCCTTGCTCACCAACATTTGGAACTCGTCTTCTCAAGTTTGCTGATGGTTTTCCCCTTGATCCTTTGAGGGCCTCTTTTCCTCAGTGTTTCCTCAAGACTAAAGGGCTCTCTTTCCTTCTATCGTTTTCAGCCAGAAGTGGACCCCCTCGTCCCGCCCGGCAGGGGCAGGAGTCAGGAGTCGATGCAGAGCCAATCCCAGGAGCCCGTGAGCATGCCCCAGTCGCTGACCAGCACACTGGAGCACATCGTGGGCCAGTTGGACGTCCTCACCCAGGTAGGCTGTGACATAGACTCCCCCCATCATCTGCACTTGGCCTGGCCATTTGGACCATTTGAAGTTGGCCTACTGGTCCTGAGTTTTTAAAAAACATACTTACAGTGTACTTATTTTTCAGCCCAAATAAATGAAATGGCAGTGCCTGCCCTGGGATCCTCTCTCTCAGAGGCATTCAATCCCTGGCCAAGCCACTGGACCCCAAAATCACCAACACTGAATCCTGCCAGGGATGCCCACCCAGTGTTAGCTTGGGCCACAACAGAGCTTTGAAAGAAACACTGTCCCTTCGTTTGACTCTTTACTGTGGGCGGGGGGCAGTCCAGGGACATGCCAGGAACTGTGCACAGAGTGTCAAGGCACCGAGAGCCCAGCCAGGCTCTGGGTTTGAGGTGGCACTGCTCCTTACCCCCTGAGCAACCTTGGAGATGCCCCTGTGGCTCTCCAAGCCCTGGTGTGCTTATCTGTCGAGAGCCTGCCATGTTTTGTTTGTTTGCTGCAGCGGGTGTTAGTTGCAGCATGTGGGATCTTTAATTGTGGCATGTGGGATCTAGTTCCCTGACCCGGAATCGAACCCAAGTCCCCTGCATTGGGAAGCACGGTGTATTAGCCACTGGACCACCAGGGAAGTCCTGAGCCTGCCATACTTATGGTCAGAATTAAAGGAGATGAGTCTGCAAGCAGTGTTTTGTCTGTGCCTACCCCTGGGTAGCTGCTCAATAAATGTTAGCTGCGGCGCTGATCACCCTCATCCGTGAGATCCATGTGGCCCCACCTCCACCAGGTGCGTAAATGCACCTGGCTGCTCATGGAGAGTGGTCTCTTAGGTGCAGAGATTTCAGTGAAGCAGAATGCCCTGATGAGAGGTGGCAGCCAGCACCGTGGGATGCCCGGAGGGTCTCTCGTCCTGGGGTAGAGGAGCAGGTCTGCACAGGGAGCAGCAGCATGCCTGCAGGTCTGGGCCAGGGGTGGGGGTGGAGGTGGGGACCACGAGCACATCCAGGCAGTGAGCAGAGTCCAGCACAGCCAGCATGACGCATGTAGGTGGTGGCAGTGACTGGACGACCGCAGGATTTAAAGGTCCTCAGGCTCCTGCCCACCTTGGCTTTGGGCACAGACCGCTCTCCTGTGCCAGCTCATTGTAGAGGGAGGGCGCAGGAAGGAGGCAGTGTCCCCTTGAGTCTCTGATGGAGGTGGGGGTGAAGTGGCATGGCGTCTCTTCTGTACCCCTGGCTCCGGGCTAAGTTCGAAGAACTCCTCCACACGGCGTCACATGGTCCATGTGTCACAGCATCCCAGCTAGTACTGCACGCCTTGGACCCACTGCCGGATGGACATTTGAGGGGAAAGGTCATGCATCGGTGACTGGGGGGTATGGTGAGACTGTGTGCACATCACACCGACATCCCTGAGCGCCCTGAGCCCTGGAAGAGAAGGCCTGCACTGAGGTGGGGGAGAAGCAAAGACTTAGAAAACACCCCCCACCTCAGAGCCGTCAGAAAGCGCCCAGCCTGCCTCATGTTCTTCACAGCCTCGTCAAGTGAGAGATCAGGGGAGGTGGAATGAATTAGAACTTTATAGGATAAAATTGGAAATCAAGTCTGAGAGGGTGGTTAAAAATAGCCTCATTGCATCCAGAGGAGTATAACACTAAAAACATTTCCTTTCACTGTGTTTTAAAGGCGTACACGGAAGGTTCTGTTATGTGTTAGCAGTCAGGAGTCTGATAGTAACTTCCTAAGAAACTGGCATCTTAGGGAAGAAGAGAGCCTCTCTGCCTTGGCCTGTGGCTGGGCTCACACCTTTCAGCCCCTTTGCAGGTCCAGACGGCGCTGCACGCCTGACCAAAGGCCAAGCCCGTCAGCCAGTCACCCACTGTGCTGGACGGTGTGCGTTCCTGGAAGCTAAAGTGTGGCTTGTTTCTGACGGACTCAACTTGGGTTCCAAGGTGAAGTCCCTATCGAGGTCTTAGAGCGCAACCTGTTTTTGAAATGGTGTGTGTTGGGGAGTGTCTGCACTAAATTGCGTGCCACCTCGGGCTTGGTCGTTGGTTGTTTTCCACACCCACGTCCTCTCCTGGAGTTCGGGCTCTCACTAAAGTGTTCAGCTCCAGCCAGAGCTGTCCCATTCAGGTTGGAGGGTCCCTGGCCCCTTCTTTAGGACCAGTCTGGCTGCGGACTGTCCTTTCTGGAGGCTCCCCTCAGGTGTAGAGCTGGATGACCACTGCCATCCTTGTTCCTATGTGGATATCTTAGCTGGGCTCTGCACCTCCTGTGGGTACTGGCCTCAGACGCTGCCCCCTTGGCAGTTCTCCTTACCATCTGACACACGCCTGTGCTCTGCAGGAGCCGAGGGTGTCTTGGCCACCCCAACACTGACTCCTGCTTAGATCAAAGTCCCCTCTCCCTTACATCACTGCCTCTCCCCTCCCCCACAGGGAAGTGTACTTCTGAGCAGCCTCTGAGAGGGACACGGGCTTCTGTCCTGCTGAACATCCTTCAGGGAGGAAGCCTGGGGATGCAGTGGGCAGTGGCCGGGATGTTTAGTGGAGTCACAGAGTCCCAGGTGACAGCCGGCACCCTGCTGTGGAGGTTCATGGTCCTCAGAGCCTGCCTTCCTGCTGGTGCGACCCGCTGAGTTTATCTGCAGACCAAACCTGACCTTCCTGAAAGTTATGGTTGGACGCTCTGGCTTAGTGCTCTGTGGTCACAACCCAGTGGCCCAGCCTCTGAGGCCACTAGCCAGAAAGCACACCCCCTTGCCCTGGCCCTTCTTTGTGTTGGAGAGACCCCCCCTTTGCCCCTGCAGAGTTGCTGTTTGGGGTTTCACTGCCACTGAGCTCCTCAGGGCCTTGATCCCACCCGGCCACCTTACACGTCCCTGTTGCCCGTGGGGAGCCGTGGTCTGCCCTTGGGTGTCACGGCTGCTCAGCTCAGTGAGCCACTGCCCATTAGCCTGGGTGTACCTGCTCTCCTGGGCTTGGGAGCCAGCTCCATTGCTCATCGTCTGGGTAACTTTGGGCAGGGGACAGGGCTTCCCAGAGCCTCAGCCTTCTCGCATGTGAAGTGGGGACAGCCCAGCCTGCTCGTGTCCTCTGAGCGCAGTGGGGAAGCTCCAGGTTTCCTGGGTGCTAGATTGGCGCCGACTGTGAAGCAGGACATGAGGGAGACATTCTCGGGATCCGAGTGGGAACGCACTGGTGTGGTCAGGTGACAGGAGTGGACATGGTGCGGACCTCTGTGACCGCTGGAGTCCCAGGGATGCTTCTGAGCTGCCAGGAGGCTCTAGTGGTCTGACTAGCCATTAGGATGGGAGGGAGATAAAGAGGAGGTGTTGCCCCCAGTCCAGGAAGCGGCAAGAGGGACCAGGGTGCCTGGAGACTATTGAAAATCAGGTGGCTCAGGGTCGGGGGGTTGGCATTAGATGGGAGCGTTGAACCCAGATCCAGGCATCTGGGCCAAGACTGAAGCTCTGCAAAGATGTATATACAACTTGTGACAGCCATTCTTTGAACTGAATCATTGTAATGGTTTTTGCGGAAAATATATTCCCTAACAATGAGATTTAGGTTTTACTTTGGGAGACTTCCTGTCTTTCAAAACCCCTCATGGGAATTCTCAAGAGCAGCTAGGGCGGAGATCATGGATGTGGGTGCTGTGTGCCATGTGTGTGCCCTCCCCCGCCTCCCGGGAGCCTATCCTGCCCCCCAGCTCCCATTCTGTCCTGCGGCCGCCCTGCCACCGTCCTGCTGGGCCTGCCCCAGTTGTCTCTTCCTGAGATAGATGGCCTGACTGCAGAGGCCTGCATGGGGCCAGAGCAAAGCTCCAACCAGAAGTCAGAAGCCCCAGATGCTTTGGCACAGCCTGCCCCTCTTTCCATCTGTGTGGACTTGGGGAAGCTGTGGTTTCCTCCTCCATGGAGGGGAGACATTAGACCCTGCCCATCTATCTGTCCTGGAGGTGGGCAGCAGGGGTCGGCATCTCAGGTGGGGCCTGAGACTACTCTTACGGCCTTCTTTCCGTGAGTCACCACTCCCCGCTGCCCCTGGCCGGGCCGCTCCCCTTGTGGCTACTCCAAGAGGAAGGGCTCCAGGTGGACCCCTGCCAGGCCTGCCTGCTTGGTGACAGGCATTCAGTGAGTGTCCGGACAGAGGCCCTGACCTTTCCCTTTGTGTTCTTGTAGGGGTGCTGCCAAATGATTTCAGGGTCCCTTTCCCAGGTGCTGGGAAACTAACCAGTGAGCAGGGAGAGGCTGTTTTCACAGCCAGCGTCCTCACCTCCCACCCTGGCACCCTTTGCTTCCTTTACGGACTCCTGAGTGACAGAGGGTGGGTGGTGTCTGGAAGCTGCGGAGGCCCTGCATCTTCCTCAGGGGCAAGGCCCGAGGTGTGCCCGTGTGGACAGGACGTGGGAGCAGGGGAGGCTGCAGTGAGGGGCCTGGGCCCAGCAGGCGACCAGTGGTTTCGCCTCAGAAACTCACAGCAGAGTTATTTTTGACTCTGGTTTCATGTCTTGCTGCTTTTTAAAAATACCAAGCCATGAAATTCCTGTTCCAGCTGTGTTTTTTCATGGCAGCCGTGCTCAAGACTGTGATGTCAGACATTCAGGTTCCTGTGAGTCACGGGGGCCGCTGGGCTCCAGGACTGGAACCCGAGCCTTGGGAAGCAGGCGGGGGCAGGCCACCCAGCCCTGCTGGTTAGAAGGTCCAGGTTGTTGTGACTCTGATGACCTAACTCAACAAGGATAAGTATTTTGGCCTGTTTGCTTTGGGGAATTGGATACAGTGACACGTTGCTTTGAGCCCCCCTGCCCGCCATGGTCCCTGCAATTTCCTTTCTGATGGGCTGCTCAGGTGAGGTATCTAGTTCTATACTGGTGGGAAGGTGTGGGACTCCTGGGCCCACCTGCCATGGACTGAGTTGCCTGACCACTCTGAGGGGCTCTCAGAGTCCCTCTTTCCTGGACAGACCAGCTGCTGTTTGTGGAAACAGACTCCAGATT